TGAAACAGATCAGCAGCAACATGAAACAGATCAGCAGCAACATGATATGGTTTTTCACAGTGATTATTCTAGTTAGAGATTCATGAGTCTAACAGCCTCAGGGTAGAAGCTGTTCCTCAGTCTAGTGGTTCTACACTTAATGCTCCTTAACCTCCTTCCTGAGGGGAGTGGGGCAAAAAGTGTGTGTGCTGGGTGGGTGGGGTCCTTCATGATGCAGGTGGCCCTCTTCCTGCATCTGGAGGTGTAGATGTCTGTGATGGTGGGGAGGCTGATTCCGACAGATTTCTGTGCAGCCTTCACCACTCTCTGCAAAGCTTTTCTTTCTGCAGCTGTGCAGCCTCCATGCCACACGTTGATGCTCGAGCACAGGATGCTCTCCACTGCACACCTGTAGAAGGAGGTGAGGACTGAGCTTCCCAGACCAGCTTGACTCAGTCGTCTGAGGAAGTAGAGTCTCTGATGAGCTTTCTTCATCAGGCTGGTGGTGTTGTTGCTCCAGCTGAGGTTGTCATTCATGTGTACACCCAAGTACTTGTAGCTGGAGACCACTTCCACCGCAGATCCTCTTATGTTCAGGGGGGTGTAGGTGTTTTTGTTCCTTCTGAAGTCCACAATCATCTCCTTTGTCTTCTTCACATTGATGTGAAGGTTATTCTCTCTGCACCAGCTCTCCAGGTGTTCCACCTCTTGCCTGTAGCTGGACTCATCATTGTTTGTGATGCATCCCACCACCGCTGTATCATCTGCAAACTTTACAATGTGACAGCCTGGATGGGTAGCTGCACAATCATATGTGAGCAGAGTAAACAGAAGGGGGCTCAACACACATCCCTGAGGAGAGCCAGTGCTGAGGGTTATGGTGGACGAGGAGAGGTTGTGGATCCTCACTAACTGTGGTCTGTTTGTTAAAAAGTCTAGTACCCAGTTGCAGATGGAGGGGCTTAGTCCTAGTGTGGATAGTTTGTCCATCAGGGTTTGGGGGATCATGGTGTTGAAGGCAGATGTGAAGTCCACAAAGAGCATACGGACGTAGGAGTCCTTCTGCTCCAGGTGGTTGAGCGCAGTGTGGACCACAGAGGAGATGGCGTCCTCTGTTGATCGGTTTTCACGATATGCATACTGATGAGGGTCCTCGTTGATGTTGATGGTTGTTCTGATGTGAGTCATGACCAGTTTTTCGAAGCATTTAGCGACTATCGGGGTGAGGGCCACTGGCTGATAGTCATTCAGACCAGTCACTGTAGAGCTTTTTGGGACTGGGATGATGGTGGCAGTCTTCAGGCAGGTGGGAACTGTCTCCAGGGTAAGTGAGGTGTTAAAGATGTCTGCCAGCACCTCACAGAGCTGATCAGCTTATTCCTTCAACACTTTTCCGGGGATGTTGTCTGGGCCAGTTGCTTTGTGCGGATTAATCCTCCTGAAGGTACTCCTTACTTCTGCTGAGGTCACGCTGAGATGCTCTTCATCCGGTGGCGAGGTGAGTCTGCCTACCTGTGCAGGACTGTCATGTCTGCCTACCTGTGGAGGCTGCTGGCTCAGAACACAGGACTGTCATGTCTGTATCTGTGCAGGCTGTCATGTCTGCCTACCTGTGCAGGCTGCATGTCTGCCTACCTGTGCAGGCTG